TAAGAAAGCGCCATATTGATTTCCAAAGTGGTTGTACAAGCTTGCATTCCCACCAGCAGTGGAGGAGAGTTCCCCTAGTTCCACATCCTTTCCAGCATAAAGTATCTTCAGTGTTTTTGATCTTAGCCATTCTGACAGGTGTAAGGTGGTATCTCAGGCAATGTGATATCTTAATATGTGTACGTAGATATGTATACATAATCATGAATCAGGTAATTAGTCAATGTCTCTGTCATAGAACCTATATTTCACTTTAAAGTGGCATGAACATTTAAAATTACTCTCTTATCAATTTTAAAATATGCAAGACATTATTAACTATAGTCACTATATTGTGCAGTGGTTCTATTTTTGATTTGTGAGAGAGGATCTTGATATACATCTCTCAATGCCCTGAGAGTCACTCTATAGCCCAGATTCTCTTCAAATTCAGGGAAATCATCCTGCCTTAACTTTCTGAGTGCTGGGATTGTATGTGTGAGTCACTGTCTTAGTTACTTTTCTATTGCTTTCATTTGAAACCATGACCAGGCAACTTACAAGAACGTATTTCAGAAGGTTAGAGTCCATGATGGTGGAATAAAGGCATGGCAGCAGGAAAAGCTGAGAGCTTACATCTTGATCTGCAAGTATTGGGCAGAGAGAGGCACATTGGAAATGGCATAAGTTTTTGGAAACATTAAAGCTAGCCCCAGTGACACACCTCCTCCAATAACAACATAATTCCTAATCCTTCCCAAATAGTTTCACTAATTAGAGACTAAATATTCAAATGCAAACCTATCAGTGTCATATTCATTTCAAACAATCACATTCCCTTCCATGGCTCTCATAGACTCATGGGCATATCATAATGTAAATTGCATTTAATCCAACTTCAAAAGTCCCTGTAGTCTTTTACAATCTCAACACAGTTTAAAATTCCAAAGTTTAAAGTCTCTTCTAAGATTCAATGGTGGCACATGCCTTTAATCCCAGCACTCAGGAGACAGAGCCAGGCAGAACTCCGTGAGTTTGAGGCCAGCCTGGGCTACAGAGTGAGTTCCAGGAAAGGCTCAAAGCTACACAGAGAAACCCTGTCTCAAAAAAAAAAAAAAAAATCAAGGCAATCTCTTAATTGTGACCTCTTGTAAAATCAAAAGCAAAATACATATTTCCGATAACAATGGCATAGAGCATACATTACCATGACTAAAAGGCTTGTCAAACATTTGGGATCCTCCACATAACCCAGGCTTCACTTTCACAGTCAGTAGCTCTATGCAAGGACTTCCTCACCACAGGCCTGGCCTCAGCAGCCATCCTTAACCATAGAAGAAGATTCTATAATCCTGTTACTCATATACCTTCATGACTACAAAGCCAGAACCATGTGGACAGCATAGGCAAATTCAACTGCCTGCTTGGCATCGAGTTTGTCCTCATTAAATCACATTTGCAGAAGATTTCCTTTCTTGCTGCAAAGAGCAGAAAATTCCTTAGGCCTTTCTTTTTTACAAGCTGGAAGCCTAGCTGAATGAGGTCTTGTCCTCAGTGCATCCATCCCTTTATCCCATTTTGGAACAGGCCTTTCTTTAATATTCTCATCTCTTACTGTACAGGCATACACTCCAGCATTCAATTTCCTGGAACTGTTGTTCATTTCAAATTGTACACTCTTTTGGAGGATCCCATTTGTTCTTTTTCATGGTCAGAGTGATTACCAATAACCACACAACTGGGTAACTATTAGTGAGGGATCAGAACAGAGCAGGGAAAAGAGAGAGAGCAGAGAGAGAGCTTGGGGTCTGCACCCACCTTCTTAAGGCATGTACGTAGTTGTCAGTACCCCCTAATGACATAAGACGCAATATTCAGAGCTGCACATGTATAGGAGTGAGGGCAGAATCACAACACTATCTATGAAGATAAACAAAAAAAAATCTTTTTATTACTTCAGAGAGTCCTAAAACTAATCTAATCCTTAGCTTCCCTGAGATTTTGAGAGAAATATCCACATTTTCCACCTCTCCATTTGCAACTTTCTCTGTAACCTTGACTGCCTATAGATACTAAAGAGGGTGTGGCCTCATGGGCCTCTCATAGATTCACAGAGGCCCTGGTTATTTCTTTTTTCCAGGCAATGACAGCTGCTATGAGTTTATGTGTGCCAGTTTTGTCACATACAGAAGACACTGCTTCACCTTGATCCTTTCCAACCTCTGGTTCTTACATTCTTTCTTTCTCTTCTCTCTGCAACATTCCTGAAGCCCTCAAGTGAGGGTGTGTTTCATGTAGAAGTCCCATTTATGGTTGAGAACTCTACAGAAACTTATTTTCTACTGTTTTACCAGTTGTCAATCTCTATATTAACTATCATCCACTGCATAAAGAAGCTTCCTCATTGAGGACTGAGAGCTGCACTAAATACATATTTGGAAAGAAGTTTGATACTATATTTATTTAGCAAATCAATAGTAACAGGTTCTGCCCTAAGAATTATAAGCTTCTGGCTATGGGTTCTTAATTAGATTTAAAGAACTAGGCATGAGTTTCCCTCTGTGGAGTGGGCCATAAATCCAATAAAAAGGTTGGTTATTCCCATAACATCCATACCACTATGGCATACATTAATTTATCTTGCCAAACCAATTGTTCTTGTAGCCTACAGGGTTCATGGCTGGATAATATTGTTGATGGCTTTTCTCCCCTCTCAGCCTACAGAGCTACCAGGGAGAGAGCTTCTTTCAGTACCAACATGTTTTCTCCTTGTCCTGTGAACAAAGTGTGTGTTTTCTCAGATAGTTTTGGTCTCTTATCACATAGGTATGTATCCATCAACCCTGTTGTTCCTAGAATCTAAGGTGTCATCAGGTTTTGACACCCTTTGGGGATTCAGAATAAAACATAAAATTGGCAGCAATATTCCCACAGAGATGGATAGAAAATAAAGGCAAAAATGTAAGATTTTGGTTTTTAATTAGGTTTGTTCTTTTGACAACTTCATACATGTATAAAGCACATTCTGATTACTCTTTCCCCCAACCTCTCTTATCCCTCTCCCATCCTTATGAACCTGTCCTTCCCTATGGTCCCCTTTCTCAGATTCATGACTTTAGGTTCTGTTGTGTAACACATTGAGCTTAGAATTACCCATTGGAGCCTGGGGTGTGTCACCAGTGGACACATAACTGGTGGCAATGGCTCTCCCTTTCCCTGAATCTATTTGCAGGAAATAGTTTAGCAATGAGGGGTGGTTTCCCTGGGCCCCTCCTCCTTCTATGCCCAACTGTTGACAGATCCATTCTTGTATACAGCCAGAAAAGAATCACGATACATTTTATTCTGCAGTTTATAGTTATATTACCACTCAAAAATGCAAGACTTGTAGACACAAACCTAAATATTTACTTTTAATATGTCACCATAATTAAAATAATAATAGCAAGAAGCTTTACATGGTAAAATGCTCTGGAGCTTCCAGTGCCTAGATACTAATGGTGCTTTCTTTACTGCTTCTTGGACATGTGAGTAATGTCCGAATTTCAGGAACACATGGAGTAGTACTCTTCCTCATCAATCCAGGTTTAGAGACAGGGACATCATTGACTCATAAACTGCACAAAAAAATAGCCTTCTTAGGATAGGACAGACAGCCCCAGGGAAATCACAACAGGACCAGATATAGATAATTATTCCAGAGCACATCTACAGGTTTCCATTGAGCATAACTTTACATCCAAAACCATAGCCAAATCTCTGCTAACATTTGACTAAGAAAAGAAGGCAGCTTTTATGCTTTTATCTTCCTTCCTTCCTTCCTTCCTTCCTTCCTTCCTTCCTTCCTTCCTTCCTTTCTTTCTTTCTGTTTTCTTTTTCTTTGTCTCACTCTCTCTTTTTTGTGAGAGAATTAACTATATAAAAACTATATAAACACATCCTAGCAAAATCTAATAAAAATTTCAGGCATTCATGTACCATACTATGAATTTCTTCTATTGTATGTTCAACCTGTTACAAATTGATAACTTCTTCAAACTGGCTCATTTTTTTAAGTATATTTACTACTTGAGAATTTCATGCATGTATGCAATATATTTTTATCATATTCATCCTTCACTTCTGCCTCCACCTCCTCCCAGACTTTTCCATCATGTCCCCCTCCCAACTTCATGTCCTTTCCTTCTGTAAATAACAATTTTGTATTACATTTGTATTTATTTATTTATTTATTTATTTATTTATTTATTTATTTATTTATTTATTTATTTATTTATTTATTTATTTATGTGTGTCTGTGTGTGTGTGTGTGTCCCCAATATACATGTGGCAGTCAATGGACAATTTTCAGGAGTCATTTCTTCCATCTACCACATTCATCCTGGGAATCAAACTCAGGTTGTCAGACATGGCAGCATGTACTTTTACCTGTTGAGCATTCTCTCCAGTTCTCCTCCTCCTCCTCCTCCTCCTCCTCCTCCTCGTGCTTCTTTTTCATTTTTGAATAAGAAATTGAGTCTCATTAATGATGGCTGTATGTGTAAGGCTGCAGGGCCAACCATCTACTGGAACATGGGTAGTCTACCAGGAGCCATATCCCTGGAGAGAACTGATTGTCTCTTATCAATCTACAATCAACTGTCAGTAACTTTTCATCTCCCCTGTCCCATGCTTCAATGTTAATTGAGTTAATCTTGTGCAGGTCTTGTATAGACCATTAGAATGAGCTCATGAGAGCAATGGTCCTGTCATGTTCAGAAGACATTGTTTTTTAGATCTGGTTCTTCCAGTCTTTCGACTTCCTTTTCTAAGAGGCACCCTGAGCATTATAGAAAGGAAATATGATTTAGGGCTGAACACTCCATAGTCATTTATTCTCTGCATTTTGACCTAACCTGACTTATTTTTATAGTTGCAAGGCTGTAGGTTTTATTTATAAACTATATTTCATACAACTTCTCCTAAGAAATAATACAATTTATGTAATGATTATTTTAATACATGTTTATACAGACATATGAGTACTAAGTAAGAAATGTTTTATCCCAGAACAAGCATCCAGTATCTCACAGATGACCACAGCTTCCTCCATCACAAAAGGAAACCATGTGGAAGATGGGAGTTCAACACCCCAACTCAAACACACTATTACAACCACACCAGTCTCCTCTGAAAATGAATATTTCACAATAGTTCCAACCAACTCAGGAGGTACCACACTTTCATCTTCACAATCAATCTCATTTGCAACTGCAGAGATTAGGAAACAGACAGCTTCCACCTTGAACACATCATGGAAAAATAACAGTAAATCTGAAGTATCACATGCAACAAAAGGAATGAATACTAGACAGACTGATGCGTCCACCATCCCTTCTCTTCACGTGTCTCAGAAAGCAGCCATGTTTGAGCACAGCACATCTCTCTCAATACCACATCAGTCAACATCAGAAGACACTTCCATTGGAATCTCCACCAGGCTCCTCAGATCTACAACCACCCCAGAATCAGAAGAGACAGCAGCCAGCCACAGGGGACATTCTGTGGTGACATCAAACATGGTGACTTCCCAAGACACATCAACCACTGCTTCAAACACAGAGACTCAGCACAGTGTGACACAAGCATCTTTACTTTCAGAATCTGTGGGTCATTCTATCAATTCACCATCCCCATCTTGGACTCATTCAACTTGGGAAGGGTCCATGTTTGCAAGTTCAACAAGACCTACACCTGATACACCCTCACATTCTCCAGTTCCTGCCGATGCAGAGAGATACAGCACCAGCTCTCCCATTTCTGTCACCTCTATCTTCACAGTTGCTAAGGATCCAATCCCTTCCAGACTATTTACAACCTCAGGATCAGTGACTCATTCAACACCAAGCTCCAACAGTGCTCAACTGTCCACAATCTCACAGAAAACCTCTGTTTCCTCACTCACACCAGAGAACAGCATGGAAGATGGAACTTACACACCCCATGCCAAACACACAATCACATCTATATCAGCCTCACCAGAAAAGAAATCTTTCACAACCATTATGCCCATCATGGAACATACTAGACCTTCACCTTCACAGCCAGTCTCATCTGAAAGCACAGAGACTGAGACAGGCACAGCTTCCTCCCTGAGGACAGCAGGGGCAGATTTCAGTACACCTGAAGACATAAATTCAACCACAGAATACAGTCCTAGCCAGAGTGGACTGCCCATGAGCCCTTCCCTTTTTGAGTCTAGGACAGGAGCCATGTCTAATGACAGTACATCGCTTTTAACCCCTCATCAGTCAACATCAGAAGATACTTCCACTGTAATCTCCACCAGTCTCCCTACCTCAGCCATCAGTACAGAATCAGAAGAAATGACAAGCAGACCCATGGGACACTCTCTAGTTATGACAGACATTTTTACTTACCCAGACATATCCAGCACTACCTCAGTCAAGGACACCCACTCCAGTGGAATGCATACATACCCACATTCAGAATCCACAGCTCCTTTCAACACTCCTGCTTCAGCATCATGGACACTTACTTCTGGGGAAGGGTCTAGGTCTACAGATTCCACAGCAACAGCAGGGTTACTTTCAGTGACCTCTGGTGCTTCCTTGCCAGACAGACACAGGAGTCACTCTCCTGATTCTGTGACCTCTGTTTTCACAGTTACCAAGGATCTATTCTCAACAGATTCGCATACAAGTTCAGATCCTGTGACTACTTACATTCCAAGCTGGAGCACCATTTCTCAGCATAACTCAAACACTGTACATACTTCCCAAACCTCAAAGATGAATAAATTTTCCTCAGTCACACCAGGGTCCAACATGAAAGCCAGCAGTTCTGTACCCCAATTAAAAGACACCATCACACCTACATCAGTGTCATCTGAAAATAAAGCTTTCCCCACTACCCTTCCCATCACCCAAATATCTACTCTTTCACATACACAGCCAACATCATTTGAACTTGAAAAGACTGGGACAGAGACATTTAGCCCCCTGACAACACTGACACAAGCTACAATACCTGAGAAGCTGCATTTGAGCACAGATACCATTAGTAGCCATTCTGAAGTGCCTTACAGTTCCCCTCTTCCTGCATTCAGAACAGTATCCATGTCTCCTGATAACACAATATTTCCAATGCTTCAGCAGTTTACTTCAGAAGATACCAAGTTTACAGCAGAAGATATGTCTAGTGGAGTTGTCACCAAGCTTTATGGCTCCAACATCACAGAATCAGAAGAAATACGTACCAGCCAGATTGGGGATTCTGAAGTGACATCAAACATGGCCCTCTCCCCGGAAACATCACCTGTGTCTTCAGTGTCCCACAATCTCACTAGTTTCACTCCAGTTCCCCTAGTCACAGAAACAGCCACATTTGTAAGCCAAAGTTATGGAGTCCCATCAATTACAACTTTTCCAACTCTGAAAGGAAGCCAGCCTGCCAATTCTCTAGGATATCTTGATGGCTCTACCTTAACTTCTCCTGGTACTTCCACAGTAGAACACAGCACCCCATCTCCTAGTTCTGTGGTCTCTGCCTTCACCTCTTCTAGGGAGGTAATCACAACTGGGTTGGATATTCATGATTTGTCTACTTCACTTCCAAATTGGAGCAGTAGTACACATTCAAGCCAAGAGACTTCACAGGTCACCAAATTCTCACAGACAAGCTCTGCTTCCTCTCTTAAAGCAGAGACAATAATGGAAACCAGCAGCTCCATACCCCAATCCAAATCTTCTATTACTCCTGCATCAGTTTCATCTAAAACTGCATTTTCAACCAAGTTTCAGCATCCATTGGTGGATACTACAGTTTCTATTTCACAGGCAACATTTTCTGATGCCTCTGGAATTATGACTCACACAGCTTCTTCCCTGAGCCAATCACTTCCACAAACTACCATTCTTGAAGAGACCACGATTGCCACAACACACAACACTGTATTTTCTCAGTTGCCCCCTAGCATGTCTACTGGCCTCTCCATTTCAGAGTCCACTACAGCTGGCAAAGTCTCCACAAAAAGCCCTCTTTATTTCTCAGCATCAGAAGACATCACCACTGGAAGCATTCCCAGCCGCATTACCTACCCTAGCACAAAAGAACACATAGAGTTAACCTCTGTCTTTGAGTCAGGTAATTCTGGGTCTTTATTATATGATACCCCATCCAGGGACACTGCAACCCCTGTTTCTATGGCAGAGTTTTCTTCACCTGAGCCTCAAACATCTCCACATTTAGCACTGAAGTCTCAATCCAGTAGTTCTGAGGAACAGTCACATGTAAGTTCTTTACCCAAGGAAAAACACACTTCTTCAGATTCAACATCAACTATGATTGAGAAAACCACACCTTCACCTGTTATTTCTACATCACAAGTACAAAATGTCTCTTCCCTTAATTTTGTGACTGTGCTTGTAACTTCTGTTCAAGAGACAATCTCAAATGGAAAAGACAAAAGTGTAGCTTCTGGGAGTACCTCAATCCAAGGCCTGGATACCACAGAGATTCCAACCCTAGGTCCTTCAAATAACATAAGGAACTTGAAGACAAGTCACAGTTTCTCTAAAAATCCAACAACTACAGTAAAAACCAATAGTCCAGAAGTGCATTCCCAAGCCACTGTTCTAGTTAATTCAATTCCATCAAGAATTACAACTGCAATTATGAAATCACAAAACAATTGGGACACAACACTTTCTACATCAATGCCCATATCTAAACCTGCTCATACAAAAACTCAGGAAGATTTCCCCCTAACTTCAGTAAAACAGAAAATAACCATGCCTGAAGATACTAACTTGATGACAAAATCCAGTTCTGATCTTTTCACAGTACTCACTAGGACTTCTACTGGGTTTTCAAGAACAGAAGCTAACTCAACTGAGAGACAATCTATTTCAGGCTCTGGATCCTTCACAGAGACAACAGACATCTCAATGGGAAGTACTTCCAGTATCTCTACACTTTCCTTCCCAGATATTGGTATCAGTCAAGTAATTAATGCTGCAGAATCATCCAAAATTACCACTCTTTGGAATACATCAGGTACTACTGCTAATATTGGGGCCCTCTCTTCAGCAACTCAGACATTTCTACACCCAGACTCCATGCCTCGTCTCAGCAGTTCTGAGTCACTGTCATGGACAGGTACTCCATCCCATGAAGCAACTCCCTCTGTGAATTCTGCAGAAATACCTGGGACAACATCATTTCCTGCTACTTCCACATCAGAAGGACAAAGTCTCTCCTCTCCTGCTTCTATGGCCCCCATATTCTCTTTTGGGCAAACAACTACAAAGGAGTTGGACACAAACTTAGCTTCTTTTACAACTTTATTTCCAAGCTGGAGAAACAGTGAGTTAGCCACTTCAGAGGACACCAGAACCTCTCAAACATCTCACTCTTTCACCAGAACTGAAGTATCCAGTGTGGACATAACCACTCCTGGACCCCAGTTCCAAAACACTGTATCATTTGATGCTGCTTCACCAGATGGTACTGCCTCTTCATTGTTGACATTACCAACAAAGACATTACCTTCTTCTGCTTTCTCTCTATCATCACCTAGTTCAAACCCCACTTCTTTTCCTGAGACATCATTCCCCACCTTTGAGTCTTTTAAGACAACAGATACATTGAGCAGAAGCTTGGAAACTGGAACAAGTTCACCTCCTAATTTGAGCACCACTTCACATGAAATATTGGGCTTATCTGATGTGACTACTGATACAGAAAATTTTCATACTTCCTCAAAATTCAAAGTAACAAACACAAAGACCATCAGTATGGGACATGAGCTAAGTTCCTCTATACCAACACCCCCTGAATCATTCAGGGACACCTATACAATGGGTACTTCTTCTTCCATATGGGTGACTTCTATGTCCACACCATTGCCTGCCTATTTAGAGACTACAAGATCTGATACTGAGCAATTTTCCCATTCAACTTCTGGACTGAGGGACACTAGCATGTCCCTACAAGCAAAGATACCTTCAGCTCCTGTGTCCACTCTCATTTTGCCAGTTTCTGAGAGTGCTGTCATCACTCCTGCTATGACCATGTCAACTCCACATCAGACTCCATCTTCACAGTTTACTGAAGCTCTGGTAGAAACAGTCACTACCTTAAATCCTTCTTCATCTATTGTAGAGTCTACTGGGGTAACATCCTCCCCAGAATCCAATTTTACTATGCCTTCATCGGAAAGTACTCATGTTCCAGGAACTGATATGTTACCTTCAGACGAGACCACTTTTATTGAAACAACAACCCTTTCTCCGACAGAAGAGATGGCTTCACTTGCCACAACTAGCATTGCAAAAGGCAGCTCAGCTGTGACTTCTAGCAGTCCTCTTTCTATTACAAAATCAAGTCATGGAGATGTTTTGATTTCCACCATTGTAGAAAAGCTACCTTCTTCAGCTTCTACACCACTGCCTTTTCCTGCTTCCACTGGCACTGACTTTACAAGCAGCCCAGCCCTCCACAGGATTACTCCTACAGGTAATTTACAAACAGAAGATAACAGTGTTGTTGGAATGAGTGGCTGCTCTCAAGATTCCATGATTATATTTAGAACTTTTAAGCCTAGAACTCATCCCATCAAAACATCTTTATTACCCTTCTTGAAAAGCATAATGACTGAAAGTTCTGACTTGGGAAGGGTGATAAATGCTTTTCAGGTTCCTATACATTCAACCAGGTTGATAAGTAAGAACCCATTGTCCCTACACTTCCATTTACAGACATTGGAAGATCATAGGCAATATCCTTTTCCTAAGAGGTAGAAAAAAATTAGGAGTTCATTATTGCATTCATATTTATTTATTATTAGCATTATTAAATCATACAAATTGTACAAATTAGTGACTTTCATTCTGATATTCTCATACATGCTCAAACAATGCTCTCATCATCCCCACTTCCTACTATGAACTCTTCTCACTTTCTTCTCTACCTTCTAGATTCCTTCCACTTCCTTTGTAGTCAGTTTTCTGCTCTTAGGGCTTTTGTATGTATATTTCCACATGACATAAAATCTATGATATTTATTTATCTGTCTGCCCAATATTGTTTAACATGATCATATCTAGTTCCTACAAATTATACCTGAGTAAAACTCTATTGTAGATACTTTACATTTTCAAATTCATCCAACTGTTTAAAAGCATGAATCCTGTTTTTTTTGTTACTGGACATTGGACCTAGGACTTTACACATGTCAGTCAAATGCTATACAGATGACCCATATGCTCTAACCCCATACTGTAAGTTTCTTTAGCACACATTGGTTGAACTAGTAACATCAATCACTTCTAATAACTGAGCTAGCCATGGGCAAAACAGAAAAAAAAAAGCAAGTCAATGAGTAATTACTACAATATTATAGATGTTCTACTATGATTATTAATGCTAATTAACAATGTTGATAATGACAATTCAGCTTATTCAGCTTATACAGCACTTATTTCTATGTCAACACTGTTTCACCAAGGTTTCAATTGTAATATTAAATTGTAATATTATTTTGTGGGTAATGAAGTTGTGATACATAGAAGATGTGAAATAATTTTCTCACTATCATAAAGCTCATAAGTGAAAGAACTAAGCTAAGAACTTAGTCAGGCGTGCTTGGTGCATGCCTGTCACCCTAGCATGTGGGAAGCTGAGGCAAAAAGAGCCTGTGTTCAAAGAGAACCAAAGTTATACAGTAAGGCCCTGGCTGAAAAACCGACAAGACAGGGGTATAGCTTAGTGCTAGAATACTTCCCCTAGGGTGCATAATGCCATAGGTTTGAACCCCAGCACTCTCCCCAACCAAAAAATGCAAACTATTCTGGAGTAGGAATTTATGTTCTTAATCATTAATTTAAACAGGGGTAGTTAAAAAGCTAGCAGAAAACACAAGAGATTCTGGCATGGCAGTAGCCATAGGAAGACAAGATTTTAGAGAGAAATTGTAAACTCTGTCAAATACTACAGAAATGCAAAGCTGCCATAAAGTGAGAGGTATTTTGACAACATGGGGATTCTCAGGGGATAGATTAGTGAAGCATAGAGGACTAAACTTCAACCACAGTAACATGTAGATAAAGGGGAGAGATTTTTCTTTGGTTTGTTTTGGAAGACTATTCCACATGGATTGACACATATGCTTTATTCTTAAGCAGCAAATACAGTACTTGTTTTATGTATATGTGTGGCATATGGAGGCACAAGCTAGCCTGAAATTCATTCTGTCAATTATACTGACCTTGAATTTGAAATAGTCCTGCCCTAGCTGCCCACGCAGCAGAGATTATAGACATATAGTACCACTAGACCTGATTCAAAGAAGAGTTTCTGCCTTTGTGGTGAACATGCTACTAGAATCACAACAGAGTCAAAAGGTAAGAAGGAAAAACATGTGGTCCTGAAAGCTGAAGGAATAAGGTACCTGATGATGTGGGAGGGACCCAGAAGCCAGTAAGTACAGAAGACCTTTTAAAGATACTATTCTTAGCCGGGCGGTGGTGGCGCTCGCCTTTAATCCCAGCACTCGGGAGGCAGAGCCAGGTGGATCTCTGTGAGTTCGAGGCCAGCCTGGTCTACCAAGTGAGCTCCAGGAAAGGCGCAAAGCTACACAGAGAAACCCTGTCTCGAAAAAACCAAAAAAAAAAAAAAAGATACTATTCTTTAAATTCACAGCAAGAGAATTAAATTTGATACCAGATTTCATTTGTGACACAAATCCAAAAAATGCCCTGCAACATTGATACCTTCATTAGGAAATCTCCAGAGGAAGCATGTTTGATTCCCTGTTCAGATAGTTTGAACACTGCATAAGAAAGGCAGATTTGAAATCATTGATTCGCTTTCTCTGTACATTGCCTTTTTATATCACACCAAGCAGGCCTCAAACTTAAAATTCTTCCGCTTCTGCATACTAAGTGTTTGGATTTCAGGTCTATAACACCATACTTGACTTTGATTCTTGTTGTAGTTTGCTCATACTCTGAAGTCAAACCAAATCAAATAAAAAGATAAGAACATATTTAAGTAAAGAGGAAGAAAAGGAGGACAGACAGAAAGTGAAAGGTGGGATGTGATTTATTTGGTAGGGTGCTGCTTAGCATGCACAAGGTTTTTAGTTCCACCCCAGCAATGCATCATGTAGGTATGAAGGTATTCACATGTCTTTCAAGTACTCAAAAATTTGGAGATAGGAGGAACTGAAATTCAAGGTAATCCTCAGCTATGTATCAAATTTGAAGCTTGTTTGGGCTGCATGAGACACTACTTTGAAAAAGAAAGGAAGGAAATAAGGAAATGAGAATGGGAGGGAAGGAAGAAGGGGGATTGGGAGAGAAAGAGAGATGAAATAAAGACTGACAGTAGAAAGCAAATGGTAAAAGAAAGGAAAGGCCATCAGATCTGCACATAGATGTATGGGCAAGTTGATAAATTTATAGGAAGGTGGTGGATATAGGGACTGGCTATTCATCCTGTGTAGCTGTGGCTCAAAATCACTGTCATGGATTCTAGAGAAAGAGTAGCATGTACTCAATGAGGTAATCTATGTAGACAGTATAGTCTTTCTGGGAGAGATACTTACCTGTTTTCTTCCTCACTCTCACCTGCAGAAACAGAAAACAGCGCACAGTCCCACACAGAGATACCTGATGGAGCTGCCCATGGAGACACTGCTGGCCTAGGAAATGGCCCTCTGGCTTCTACATCACCTGCTAGCCCTAAAGGTAAATCCCACCGTGCTTACTCCCTAGAAAGTAGAAACAATACTGCTTGCCTTATTCCCTGTTCCAGAGCAACAAACTTCTTGATTTCCATAAAGAAAATACTATATGGTTTTCATGAATGCTTGTCTAAGCTGGATCTTTGTCTAATGGTTACTGTGTAGAAGGCAGTGTATAATAGTATTCTCATAACATGCTGAGCAAGATTTACTCCAGATCTCAAACTTAAACCTCTCTCTTCCCATTCTCTCTCTAAAGCCTTTCTATGTAGCCCAAGCTAGCCTTAGACTCACAAATGTACTGTCATAATCTACATGCTAAGATGTCAGATAAGTACCTCCATGTCCACCCTGATATGCTAATTTAATAAAATGCATATCTTGGAGACTAAGATATAAACTGAGAATGCATAGAAAGACATTAAAGGAACAAAATAATTATAATGCAACTTTGGGGGGGGGGGTTGTGTGCTGGTGGGAGGCCACAGCAGCTTGCACTTGCTAGGCAAGAACAGGATTGCTGAAGCCTGATCAGCCCCTCATTTGCATATTTTAAGTCAAGAACTCTGCTTCTGAGCCACATCACCAGGTTCCTCACTGGAAGATTCTAGGTAGAGGCTCTCCAGCAGAACCATGCCCCGAGCTCCACACTGAGGGATTCTAGGCATGTCTGGTGCTTGTGAAAGTAAAAGGGCGCATGAGATCCCTGGGACTGGAGGTATGGGTTGTTATATGTCACTAAGTGGATACTTTGGACCAAAAATGAGTCTTCTGCATGAGCAGAAAGTGCTCCTAAGCATGGAGCCATCCTTACTGTTTCCTGTTTTTAGTTTCTTAAGGAGCCTCTATACTCTTTTTCTGAAATGGATAGACTCAATAGCTTAAATTCCCACCAACAGTGTATAATGTTCATTTTTCTCCAATAGTTACAAGCGTTTGTTTTCTACTTTGTACATAAATGTCGTTTGTACTAGGATGAAAGTGAATCTTAGTGTAGTTTTTCATTTTTGTAATGGCTAAAGATATTGAGGATTTCCCCCACAGACTCAGTGGGAGCCCAAGTTTTAGTAAGCTACTTTGGAGACTTTGAAAATCTAGGTTTCTGACAAAGTCAGCACTAAGTCAGAACTACTGATTTTAACCTGTGGTGAAGAATCCTTTGCAGGCTTCCTAAGATGCAGTCTTTTAATCTAAGCCATGGAGCCACATAGTCTATCCTAAGTGGAGAGTGGTCCTGGCATGCAGTTGGAAGAGAAGGTAAAGAAGAGAAGGAAGTCAGTTTAAGGTACCTTAGTGTGCAGATCACTGGGTCACAGTATTTATAGGTGTGCACCCCATACCCAGATTATGTAGTTCCAGGGATTGAACCCCATAAATGTTGGGTAAATATTATACCCAATGAGCTCCATGCCCAGCCCATGTGTACTCATAAATGTGCACATCAATACCATGAAATGCTAGGTGTCTTCCAGACAAAAAAAGATTATGTAATCAAACTGTGCTAGGAAACCTTGGTTTGAACAAAGCCAAGCAATTTCCTTTACAGCCATATCTCTAGTAAAAAGACAAAATCAGCACAGGACTATCACATTATGGAACCCAAACTTTCAAACAAATGACACATGTCACCTCTTTCAAGTCAAAGGAGGTACATTCTGATGTAGCATTCTTTCATGTCCTCATTTATTTGTTTATTCACTCAAGACTTTGAGTTGAACACCACACCTACCACATGTGAAACAGTCAAACATTAATAGTTGTTAAGAGCCAGGACTGCTGGAGATTAAAATTCAATTCAGACATTGTGGCGAAAAAATATGGAGAAAATGAAATATAATGAATTCTCAGTGAAGGTGGATTTAAGCTTGCCCATGAAAATGATCGGAATTGATGGGGTCTGATGAAGAATAAGTAGGTCAGGAGGAAGGAAGAGCTCAACATTGAGTCATACAGAAAATAGAGGGGAACAGGATTGAATAAGTGTGGTCACAAATTTATGGAGCAATTACAACTCAAAAGGATACAGGAGGGTTAAAGTTGTAGCTCAGTTGGTAGAGAACTTGCCTAGAATTCACAGAGTCCTGAGTTTCTGTCCTTGGCACCATATACACTAAATGTGATCATGCAGATCTATATAATCTCAGTACTTAGGAGGCAGTCAGATCAAAAGTTTAAGAATGCCCTCAGCTGTGTAGTGAGTTTAAAGCTGGCCTAGGAAACAGGAAACCCTGTCTCTCTGCTCTCTGTCTCTCTCTCATACACTCCACACACACATACACACACATGCAAACACACACAAGCACATGTATACATATGCGTGCCTACACACATGTGCATACATACACACACATATATATGCACGCACACACATGCACACACACAAGCACATGCACATGTGTGCATACACACACACACACACACACACACACACACACACACACACACACACACACCAGAAAATTTTTAAAAAAGCATGAGTGGAGGAAACAGGTGAGCCATATAACAAAACTCACCTTTTCCCTGCCCAGATCATGCCACCCACATCCCAGGAAAGCAGCACTTTCATAGATATTTCTCTCCCTTTCATCATGTAGAGAAAAAAAATTTAATTGCCTATCTAGAAAGTGTAAACATTTTTACAATTTGTGTTGCATGTCTCTACTTACAGAGCTAACCACAAAAGGGACAGTAAAAGTGGAGACCACTGCCACATCTCTGAAGGCTACTTCCATTGCCACTTCAACCACCAAAATCCCTACTACAACTTCAAGACCCTTGAGTCACCTCAAGACACCAGAGAAAATAGGCAACATAAACACAACAGAGATGATTATCACAGCCTCAGATACTTCCCATGATGTCCTAGGGACAGCAGCATCATTTCCTACAGGCTCTGGAGAAAACACTAGCATGGTCCTCAGGACAAGACCATCATCTTACAGTAAAGAACCAGAGAGCACAGCCCTATTGATCCCCAGTCTTAGGACAGAGACCAGCCCAGATGTTCATACTTTGAACATCTCCTCTGGTGAGTCTGATACAGTCTCATGGGTCACCCATCCTTTAGAGATTACTTCACCTGTTGCCAAGATAACCATGAATATTTCTCAAGGTGAATCTGATTCCATTGTGTCCACAGCCACCACTCCCAGAGGAGAAGTCACTTCAACTTTTCCAACATTAACTGCTTTATCTACTATACCAGATTTGGCAACCTCACTGATTAGCAGACCTGAAGAAAACACCAGTATGTTTATTTCAACTCTTACTGACTCCCTGAGTAAACCAAAGACAACAGCCTCTGGGGTCACCCATCCTGGGATGGAGGTAGATTATTCTATTGCCAGCACTTTTTCTACTGACACATCAGGAATGGCAACCTCACTGGATATTAATTCTGGAGCAGACACCAAGCCAGCTCTCCAAAGTCTGACTGCTGCCCCTGGTGAGTCAGATACAACAGCCTCAGTGGTCATGCACCTTTCACAGAGCAGAATCCCTGTTTCTGAAAATATTCTTGACATTTCCAATGGTGAAACTGCTACTACCACACTCTCAATGGATACTACCCATGGGACAGAAGTCATTCCAATCATTCCAACCACTACTACATCACCTACTATAACAGGATTGAGAACCTCACTGGTCATTAGTTCTCAGACCAGACAGAAAAATACTAGTGCATCAACTATGACTCCTGCTGGTGAACCAGAGTCCACTGACACACTTGCCACTGATCTTGAAGCATGGGAAACCACAGCTATTCTAAATACAACTACTTTGACTGCTATATCAGGAAAGGTAATGGAGTCAACCACTTCACCTTTGATTGCTTTTCCAGATCAACTGTTTAATACAACCTCTTGGATCACCCGGACTGGGACAGAAGTCACTTCAACCATTTCTACTGTGAATATTTCCTCTGGTGAGCCAAATACAACAGTATCGGGGATTACCCATGCTACAGAGACAAGCTTTACTGTTCCTAAGACAGCCCTAACATTTTCACATGGTGGATCATATTTGACATTGTCAACAGCCACAAGTACTGGGGAAGAAGCCAGCTCTGCCCTGCCAACTACAGTGACTGCACCTGGTGTACCAAATACAATGACCTCACTGCTCACTAGTTCTAGAGCAGTGACCAGTACAAGTACTCCATCTTTGACTGTTCCTTTTTCTAAACCAGAAACAACAGCCACATTTGCTACCCATGCTGGATCCCAGATAAGTTCAGCTATTACAATTCCAGCTAATTCTCCTACTTTACCAGGAATGTTGACCTCACTCATAACCAGTTCTGGAACAAAAAGAAGTCTGTCTCCAACTTTGACTGTTTCCACGGGTCAATCAGAGACCACCATTCCTTGGACCATTCATCTTGAGGCAAAGTCCAGTTCAGCTGTCCCAACTTCAGCTGTTTTTCCTGGTGAGCCAGATACAACAATTTCATTAGTCACTCCTGATGAAGCGATCAGCCCTACAGTTCTGAAGACAGCCCCAGGTTTTTCTCACCATGGATTAAATGTTACACCCTCAGTGGCTTCCAGTCTTGGGACAGAAACAAATTTAGCTGGCTCATCTTCTGTTTTTTCACCTGAGGTGTCAGAGGTTCTGACCTCACTGACTACTAGTTTTTCAACAGTAACTAGTGAAAGTACTCCATCTCCGTCTATTTCTGATGACGAGTCAGATACCACAGTATCATTGGTCAGCCACCAGAGGCCCCAGATGAATTTAACCATTGCTATTCTGACTGTCTCCCCTAATGTTCCAGAGATGATGTCACATGCCACTAGTAGTGAAATAAAAACAAATCTATTTCCAACTCAGGTTTCTTTCCCAAGTCAGCCAGAGACCACTGCTTCAGAAGTCAGCCATCCTGGAGATGAAACTAGTTCTGAGGTTCCAACTGGGACTGGAACCCTCAGTGAGCCACATGAAACAGGGTCTTTTGTCAACTATCATTCAAAGGATATTCCAACTCTTCCCAATATAAGGCCAAGTTTTTCTCATATGGATTCAGCCACTTCACCTCCTGTATCCACCACAATTATTGGTCCAGAAGCGAGTTCAGCTGTTCTAACCACAACTATCTTACCTGTTGCCCCTGATATGGTGACTTCACATGTCCCTAGTTCTGGTACAGATCTAAGAACAGCTAAATCAATTCCAATTCTTCATTCTTCTGAACCACGGACCATAGTTTCCCTGGCAACCAATGCAGGGGAAGAAGCAAGTTCAGCCATTTCTACTTCAGGTGTCAGCACTCTAGGTGTAACAGAAGTGAAGACATCACTGGTCTCCAATTCTGGGGCAGAGACACATGCAACCACTCCAATTCCAGCTCTTTCCCCAAGTGAACCAGACACCATAGCCTCATGGGTCACTGACTCTGGCAGAGAAGGCACTTCAGATATTTTAACTCTATCTACTTTACCTGATGGGACAGATGAAACAGAATCATGGGGTCCTCATTCTTCAGAGAATAACCTAACAGTCCTCCCGATAACTCCAGATGTTTCCAATACTGTATCAGGTAGTTTACCCTCAATGGCCACCAGTTCAGAGACAGAAAACAAATCAGATTTTTCAACTTCTACTTTGTCACCTACTGTATCAGAAGTACTGACTTCACTTGTCCCTACTTTTAGGACAGTCACCAGCACCACTATTCCAACTTTGACTCTTTCTTCTGATAAACCAGAGACAGGAGTCTCAATGATCACTCGTACTGGGCTACAGAAAACTTCATCCTTTCCAACTACAACTGCTTCCTCAGATTTACTTGGGATAATGACTTCACTAGTCCCTAGTTCTGAGATATACACCAGTACAATTTCCCCAACAATATCAAGTTATTCACAAGAACTGGAAAAAACAACATCACAAGTAACCCTTTCTGCCATTTCAGAAGATAGTTCTGTTACAACTCTTACTGCTATACCAGGTGAATCAGGTACATCAGCCTCATTTGTTCCCAATCCTGAAGAGATCAGCTCCAGTGTTCCAAGGACAAGCACAAGTTTTCCCCATGTTGAATTTCATACCACACCCCCAACAACTACCACTAATGAACAGGAAGCCAGATCATCTGCTCCAACTATAGATATCTCATCTAGCATTCCAGATTCGATAACCTCAGAAGGCCACACTTCTGGGGAAGGTACAAGAACATCCAAACCAATCCTGACGCCTCAACCTTCTGAGCCACATACCAAAATTTCTCTGATCTCTCATTCTGGGGGAAAAACTAGTTCACCCATGTCTACTGTTGCTGTCTCTCCAGGTGTCTCTACCTCTGAGACAGGAATCCATACCAGAAATTGGACTATTTCCCCAGGTCAACCAAAGACCACAACCTCATGGACCATGAATCCTGGAATAGAAGTGAATTCAAGGGTGCTAACTACAACAATCTCACCTAGTGTTCTAGACATGGTGACCTCAAAATCTGTGAACCAAATGCCTAAATTACAGACCACAATTTCATTGTTAACCGATGCTGGAGAAGAGCTCAGTTCGGCCATGTCTACTCTGACTGTCTCTCCAGGTATAACAGAAGTGACCACATCACTGCTCAATAACTTAAGTACAGAAAACCATGTAACAACTTCAACTCTAACTTCTTCCCCAAGACTACGAGAGACAACAACATCTTGGATCAACAACCCTGAAAAAGAAGCAGCCATTTCAGGGATTCAAACTACAAACTCAATATCTAGTGTTACAGACATGATGACCTCAACCATCCTGAACCACACTCCTGCTAAACCACAGAAGACAGCATCATTGGACACTCATGCTGGGAGACAACACAGTTCAGCCATGAATAGCATGGCAGTCTCACAGGGTATAACAGAAGTGATATCATGGGTCAAGAGCTTGGGCACAGAAAGCCACAGAATGACTTCAAATACAGCTTTATTCCCCATACAACCAGAGGTTATAACACCAGGAGTAACCCATCCTGGAAGAGAAGGTACTTCAGGGGTTCTATCTACAACCATTGAACCTAGTGTGCCAGAAATGATGACCTCACCAACTCTTATTCCTCCTGATCCATATACTAAAGTTACATTGGTCACCAACATTGTGGAACAGTCTAGTTCAGCCATGTCTACAAGGCCTGATCTTCCACATACAACAGACATGATACCATTACTTGTCACTACCTCAGGCACAGAAAGCCATTCAGTGATTTCAACTTTAGCTGTTTCCCAAGATCAACCAGAGACCACAGTCCAATGGGTTACACACCCGGGAAAAGAAGATACTTCAGGGGTTCTAAGTACAATGACCTTACCTCCTGTTCCAGGCAAGATGACCTCAACAATTCTGTCCCAGACTCCTTCTGAAGCACAGACAATAACATCATTGGTCACACATCCTGGTGGACACCTCAATTCATCCATGTCTACTCAGGCTGTCTCTTCAGGGGTAACAGAAATGATGACATCACAGGCCACTACTTCTGGGACAGAGGCACATGGAACCAGTCCAGCTCTCATTGTTTCCCTGGGTCAAACAGAGTCCACAGCCTCATGGACAACACATGCAGAAAGAGAAGACACTTCAGGTATTCTACCTAAGTCCATTTCAACTGGTGTTCCAGATCTTGTTACTTCCACAACTCCTATTCCTTCTGAATCACATTCCACAGTTTCATTTGTCACCCACATTGGTGAACAGCCCAATTCGGCCATGTCTGCTGAGGCTGTCTCTTCAGGTGTAACAGGAATGATACCATCACTGGCCACTAGCTCTGGCACAAAAAACTATTCAACAGCTACAACTCTGGCAGTGTCCACAGATCAACCAGGGACCACAGCCCCATGGGTCACCCAGCCCAGAAAAGAAGGCACTTCAGAGGATCTATCTACAACTGTCCCTGATACCACAGCCCAATTGGTCACCCATCCTGAAAGAGAAGCCACATCACAGGTTCCACCTACTACCATTTTGACTGGTGTTCCAGAAATGATGTCCACAACAACTCTTATTTCAGCTGAACAACAGAGTGCAGTGTCATTAGTCACCCATATTGAGGGACAGTCCAGTTCAACCATGTCTACAAGTCATGTCTCTCCAGATATTACAGAAATGATACCATCAACGGTCACTAGCTCAAGCACAGAAAGTCATTCTATGACTCCAAATCTGGTTGTTTCCCCAGATCAAAGAGGGTCCACAGTCCCATGGGTCATCAATCCTGGAAAAGAACACTTTTCAGGAAATTTATCTGCAACTGTCTCACCTAGTATTCCAGACATGACCTCAACAACTGTGATCCACACTCCTTCTAAACCACAGACCATAACATTGCTCACACATTCTGGAGGATATCCCAGTTCATCCCTGTCTACTCAGGCTGTCTCTTCAGGTGTAAGAGAAATGCCACCATCATTAGTCACTAGCTTGGGAACAGGAAGCTATGTAATTACTTCAACTCTGGATGTTTCCAAAGATCAGCCTGAGACAACAGCTCCGTTGATCACCCATCCGGAAGAAGATGCAACATCAGGGGTTCCACCTACAACAATTTCAACTAGTGTTCCAGAAATGATGTCCACAACTACTCTTATTCCTTCTGAACCATATAACACCATGTCATTCATCACTCACAATGAGGAACAGCCCAGTTCAATATTGTCTACAAGTCCTGTCTCTGTGGGTATTACAGACGTGATACCATCACTGGGCATTAGCTTAAGCACAGAGACCCATTCCATGACTTCAACTCTGGGTGCATCTACAGATCAACTAGGGACCACAGCCCCATTGGACATGTATCCTGGAAAAGAAGGTTCCTCAGGCCATCTATCTATTACCAATTCATCTAGTATTCCAGGCATGATGACCTCAACAATTCTGGCCCAGACTCCTTCTGAAGCACAGACAATAACATCATTGGTCAATCATGCTAATGGACACCTCAGTTCATCCATGTCCACTCAGGCTTTCTCTTCAGGTGTAACAGAAATCATGACATCACCAGCCACTACTCCTTGGACAGAGACACATGAAACCAGTCCAGCTCTACTTGTATCCTCAGGACAAACAGAAACCACAGCCTCAAGGGTGACTTCTGCTAAATGGAAAGATACTTCAGGTGTTCTAACTACTACTATTCCACCTAATGTACCAGACCTTGTTATTTCCACAACTCTTATTCCTACTGAACCACATTCTATAGTTTCATTTGTCACCCATATTGGTGAACAGCCCAATTCAGCCATGTCTACTCTGGCTGCCTCTCCAGGTATAACAGAAATGATAACATCACTGGCCACTAGCTCTGGCACAAAAACCAATTCAACAGCTACAACTCTGGCAGTGTCCACAGGTCAAACAGGGACCACAGGTTCATGGGTCACCCATTCTGAAAAGGCAGACACTTCAGATGTTATAACTACAACCCTCTCACCTAGTGCTCCAGAGAATATAACCTCAACAATTCTGACCCACACTCCTTCTAAAACACAGACCACAATATCAGTGGTTACCCATGCTGAGGCACAACCCAGTTTATCCATGACTACTCCGGCTGTCTCTTCAGGGGTAACAGAAATGATGACATCACAGGCCACTACTTCTGGGACAGAGGCACATGGAACCAGTCCAGCTCTGGTTGTTTCCCCGGATCAAACAGAGACCACAGCCTCATGGACAACACATGCAGTAAGAGAAGACACGTCAGGTGTTCTACCTAACTCCATTTCAACTGGTGTTCCAGATCTTGTTACTTCCACAATTCCTACTCCTTCTGAATCACATTCCACAGTTTCATTTGTCACCCACATTGGTG